CTGTCTTCCATTGACCTTGCACTGAAGTTTGGCTGAAGGTACATTGACTCCACCTACATTATTTATGTACTTGGAATTGCATACCATAAGCCGACCTTCCCCCATAGCATAGATCTGGCTTCAGTCTCCCCAACAGTTGTTTCTATTAATAATAATAATAATAAACAACAACATGTTCTTGAGTAATCTTTTATTCCGAAATCTGAAAGTGGTTTACAAAGATGAATTGTTACCCCAGTTTTACCCCTGAAATACAGAGAAGCTAAATGATGTTCCCAAATTAACACATTATATCAATGGCATAGCTCACATAAACTGTTCTTTGGAGCAGAGAACATAGGCTTGACTTTCCTCTCTTTCCAGTTTTATAAATGTGACTTGTTGACTTCTGTGGATTTCCTCCTGATTTACACGGTTCTAAATATGAGGCATTGATCACGTACTGTCTTTATTTATAAAGTGGGATAGTAAGTGAAAGGTTACAAAATGAATCAGTGGCTGAGCTAGATCTTTGAATTCTAAGGCTGCTTCCCTAACTATGCAGCACCTATCATACTTCCTCTAGATAGTTTGTTTCCCTGCCTGAACTATGGCATTGAAAAGAAGAAATCTATTCTATTTTGTCAAATAGAAGTGTACATTTACAATCCTCTCCTTTTCTGCCAAAAACCTTCTTTGTACAATACCTAGTGTAATTGTGAAGCAGACTTTGAGTTGTAGACCAAATGTTTTCTAACAGTTGTACGTGAATGAAGGGTAGGGTGGCCATTTACCAACTCTCCAGGATTGTCTTGGAATCTCCAGGAATGAAAGATTAATATTTAAAGATTGTTGTGTGATTAAATCTCCAGGAATACATCCAACCAAAATTGGCAACCCTACTGAAGGGCTGCATACTTTGTTGCTTATGTAGGCTGATCTGGCAGGTGGCAGTGAGAAGGACAGGAATGTGTAATAACCTGTAGCAGCTATACAGGGTGCTTCCATTAAGGCTTCATTTTACTGTTAAGTCATCTAATCTGCTTCTCTTATTCTCTTCATTGTCTGTTATTGATATGAAACTGATTAAACAAAGTGAATGCCCTGCTTGACCAATAACAGTTGTTTGCATTTTTATCTTCAGTGTAGTTTATAAGCTTTATTACTCATCCTTTTATGAGAGAGGTTCAGATTTAATGACTTGCTTAAAATCAGTATGAGATACTATCAGATCTAAAATCAGAACTCTGGAGTTACTGATTCACACTCCTGTGTTCAGACTACCGACCATTCCTCCTTTTTTGTTTTGTTTGTTTTGTATTTTACTATATTATGCTTGCAAATCAAGTGGCTGATGGTTCTGCAAATAGAAATTCCAGAATCATTTGGGCTTTGATCAGAGATGGCAGCTGGTTGCATATTTTGGGCTTACCTTCATTAATTAATTATACCTTTTAAGATATACTGTTATAGTTGAATCAGTATATCCCCTTAAAGTAGATGGAATTATATTGGTATGCAGGTGCTTTGTGCCAGCTATACTAGTAATATGTCTCACTTATACCATAGTTTCCACAGGCAGGTGGGATCATTATGATCATCTAGTGTGACTTGTGTAACAGGCCAGAAAGCTTCCCCAAAATAATTCCTAGATTTTATCTTTTGGGAAAACATCCAGTCTAGATTATAAAAATTGGTAGTGATGGAGAATCCACCAAATTCTTTAAGTGCTAGTGGTTCATCAAACTCACACTAGGGGTGTAAAGGTGCACCTACACTGCATCCTTACCTCGAAATAAAGTGCTATTCTGACAAATCCTTTAACTGTCGTGGAATATGGGTTATAGGGATGCCGGAATAATGCACCCAGAGTGGGGTAATGCTGAACATGTCTGTGGACAAGTGTGTGGACTTCTGCACTGAAAAGGTAAGTAGGAGAGCGATGGGGTCCCACCAAGTGAATGGGGCTGTAGGCAAAGGGCCTGACACACACCTCCAATTTCAGTGGCGTAAATCCCCACTAGAGTCCAGGGTGTGTCTGAAGCGACCTGGGTACAAGTGGGGAAGGATCGAGCTAAGAATCTTTCCAGCGCTCTGCATATGCTTCAGAAGAGTCACATTCAGATCATACTCAATACATTGTGATCCAACATAGTGGAATAATTGCATGTGTCCAGAATACAAGAGGTAAAATTGACAGCTCATGTCTTTGCCATGCAAAAAGTAGGCGCTCAATCCCAGTAGAAAACAATGCTGGGGAATCACTAAATTTCTCCTTTCATTTAGTCAGTAGCCTGCCAGAGTTTTATCCCTTAGTAGTAGCTTTACTTGTACAAATCTACATGAGCTTTACAGAAGATTTGTATACTGTTGGCTTGGTTGAGTCAAGATTTGACTCCGCTCGTTCTGACTACTTCCCACTGTAAAATGTCAGGACAGATATTTAGCTGCTGTGATGACCATCACTCCACTGAAGGTCTGGGTTGGAGGCAGCTCTAACCCATGTTCTTAAGGTTGATGGGCAAGTTTCTCTTCACAGAACAGGAAGAATGTGGGTTTCCAGCCTACTACCAGGAAAGCAGCCAGGGAAGAGAGTAGGGACACTAATGATTCTGGAGGGCTACCTCTACAATGGCATGATTTTCCGAAAATGCTTTTAACGGAAAAGTTTTCTGTTAAAAGCATTTTTGGAAAAGCGCGTCTAGATTGGCAGGAAGCTTTTCCGCAAAAGCACTTTTTGCGGAAAAGCATCCGTGGTCTATCTAGACGCGGTTTTCCGCAAAAAAGCCCTGATTGTCATTTTCGCGATTGGGGCTTTTTTGCGGAAAACAGTACTTGCTGTCTACACTGGCCCTTTTGCACAAAAGTTTTTTGGAAAAAGACTTTTACCCGAATGGGAGCAGCATAATATTTCCGGAAAAGCACTGGAAATTCAAGCAGCCAGTGTAGACAGCTGGCAAGTTTTTCCGCAAAAGCAGATGATTTTGCGGAAAAACTTGTCAGTCTAGACACAGCTGAGAAGTGTGGGAGGCTGAAGTGGGAGAGAGATGTGACTTGTTGACTTCTGTGGATTTCCTCCTGATTTACACGGTTCTAAATATGAGGCATTGATCACGTACTGTCTTTATTTATAAAGTGGGATAGTAAGTGAAAGGTTACAAAATGAATCAGTGGCTGAGCTAGATCTTTGAATTCTAAGGCTGCTTCCCTAACTATGCAGCACCTATCATACTTCCTCTAGATAGTTTGTTTCCCTGCCTGAACTATGGCATTGAAAAGAAGAAATCTATTCTATTTTGTCAAATAGAAGTGTACATTTACAATCCTCTCCTTTTCTGCCAAAAACCTTCTTTGTACAATACCTAGTGTAATTGTGAAGCAGACTTTGAGTTGTAGACCAAATGTTTTCTAACAGTTGTACGTGAATGAAGGGTAGGGTGGCCATTTACCAACTCTCCAGGATTGTCTTGGAATCTCCAGGAATGAAAGATTAATATTTAAAGATTGTTGTGTGATTAAATCTCCAGGAATACATCCAACCAAAATTGGCAACCCTACTGAAGGGCTGCATACTTTGTTGCTTATGTAGGCTGATCTGGCAGGTGGCAGTGAGAAGGACAGGAATGTGTAATAACCTGTAGCAGCTATACAGGGTGCTTCCATTAAGGCTTCATTTTACTGTTAAGTCATCTAATCTGCTTCTCTTATTCTCTTCATTGTCTGTTATTGATATGAAACTGATTAAACAAAGTGAATGCCCTGCTTGACCAATAACAGTTGTTTGCATTTTTATCTTCAGTGTAGTTTATAAGCTTTATTACTCATCCTTTTATGAGAGAGGTTCAGATTTAATGACTTGCTTAAAATCAGTATGAGATACTATCAGATCTAAAATCAGAACTCTGGAGTTACTGATTCACACTCCTGTGTTCAGACTACCGACCATTCCTCCTTTTTTGTTTTGTTTGTTTTGTATTTTACTATATTATGCTTGCAAATCAAGTGGCTGATGGTTCTGCAAATAGAAATTCCAGAATCATTTGGGCTTTGATCAGAGATGGCAGCTGGTTGCATATTTTGGGCTTACCTTCATTAATTAATTATACCTTTTAAGATATACTGTTATAGTTGAATCAGTATATCCCCTTAAAGTAGATGGAATTATATTGGTATGCAGGTGCTTTGTGCCAGCTATACTAGTAATATGTCTCACTTATACCATAGTTTCCACAGGCAGGTGGGATCATTATGATCATCTAGTGTGACTTGTGTAACAGGCCAGAAAGCTTCCCCAAAATAATTCCTAGATTTTATCTTTTGGGAAAACATCCAGTCTAGATTATAAAAATTGGTAGTGATGGAGAATCCACCAAATTCTTTAAGTGCTAGTGGTTCATCAAACTCACACTAGGGGTGTAAAGGTGCACCTACACTGCATCCTTACCTCGAAATAAAGTGCTATTCTGACAAATCCTTTAACTGTCGTGGAATATGGGTTATAGGGATGCCGGAATAATGCACCCATTATTTCGAGATATATTTTGAAATAATGGGCACATTTAAAGATGTGGAATAGCTATTTCGGGATACTTCCGGTATCTCAGAATAGTGCCGCTGTTTAGACGTAGCCTAAGAAAGATGTTGACTATCCGATAAACTTATTGGGTAGTCGAGTCAATTGCTCGCATTCTATTCTTCCCTCTTGCTGCCTCTACATCAGAGCTGGCGGGGGGGGGAGAGGAGTAAGGCTGCTCCAGAAGCAGTTCTTGTCCATGGTGGTCCCAACTCCCCACTGGGACTTCTGTGGACAGCCCCTTTCTGCGGCAAGGCACTGTGGTCAGGGGCTGCTTTGCAGGCAGGAGTTCCTGTCTGCAGGGGGCTGCTACTGGCTGAACAGGCAGCCCTGCTTAGTCCCAGCTTATGCTGGGACCAAACCCCGCTATAGCTCTGCAATTTAAAAGGCAGTAGGATCCCAGGCTCTTACTGTTTTTTTAAATTGCACAGCCACAGCGGGGTTTGAACCTGAAGTACATTATCTGAAGTACATTTATGTATATGCTGAAAGATCAAAGCTTCAATGGAAAATCTGAAAAATGGTCTTACCAGGCATCATCTTGGATAGTATTATAGTAATTTCACTTTATGACAAGTATGGACCAATATGAGAAGGCTATCTATGGCTGTGTAATACTAGAATCAGAAAAGTTTGTGCTTGCTATGTATGGCTGGTTGAGGCATCTAGAACAATACCCTTTAATTTAGCTGCCCAGCATTGTCATATCCCCATAACCTTTTAACTAATTTTCTTTGTCATATTTCAACAACAAGGAAAAAATCTTTGTACTGTATAGAATCACAGTTTGAATAAACTTACCAGACACTTATCTGGTGGAAGACTAAACCTGGCTAGAGACAGGTATAAAAATGAGGGCAAGGATGTCATTGATGAGTCCAGGGGCAAGGCACTACTGAGAGAGCACGGCTACCATGCTATCTTTGCTGGAAAGAGGCAGACTGGTAGGGTTTCTAGAGATTTGAATGAATCCAGCCTGGTGGGTCCCTGTGCCGGCAGAGGGCACTCCAGCCCAGCATTCCAGTCCAGCTGAAGCAGCCTCCACCCATGATGGGAAGGGCCCACTGCACTGCAGGAGAAGGTGCTCCAGTCTGTCTGGAATGGCTCCCCCGCCTGTCCCCGTGTAAGTGGTTAACTGGTTAAATATAATGTTTAACTAGCTGCATAAGAAAGGCCATACATGGTCAGACCAAAGGTCTGTCTAGCCCAGTATCCTGTCTTCTGACTGGGTAATGCCAGATGTCCCAGGGGGAGTGAACAGAATGGTACACAGAATCATCAAGTGATCCCTCTCCTGTCATCCATTCCCAGCCTCTGACAAACAGAGGTTAGGGACACCATTCCTATCCATCCTGGCTAATAGCCAGCGATGGACCTAAACTCCATGAATTTACTGATTAAATGGGATTTTACAGCCCTAGTTTCTAGCAGGTTGCTACCCAGTGAAATCACACTATTTGAGACCATGTCTCTGGTGTATAATTCTGAATGGTAGTCATGACACTGACTAGCTTTGTTAATTTCACTGTGCAGCTGCTTGCAAAAGCCATGAGCTGCAAAGGGAGCCTGGTGCTGTCTCTTCACAGGTTAAAAAATGAATTTTCCACAGGCTACTGTGAGGAAGTTATTGGATTTTTTTAAAGCCCTGCTATTGATTTGAGGAAAGCTCATTGTGTTATATTTGCTATATGAGAACTGTCACATTTTGGAATAAAATGAGTTGGAAAGGGACCCATAGAATGGCAGTGTGATCTGGTTTGGGTCATATTTTTTCTTAGCTATCTTTTTATACCTCTATTTTGAGCTTCAATGTCTGTAGGGCCTTATTCTATGAGTTAGTGGGTGCCTTATGCAAGGCCAAGGGGAGCTGAAGGCCCTCAGTGGCTGTAGACCCCTATGTTCCTTGGTAATTTATGGCTAGGAGGAGCTGGAAGTGTGCATTTAAAGGCACAATGAAAAGCAGAAAGAGAATTCTGTGAAATATCTAGTTATCCTTTTGGCCTGAGTTATTAGCCAATATTTGGGTTGTTTTCACTAGGGGACAAATTGATTATATGGGGTAGGTATTTGCTGCAATCATATATATTTATAAAAATGTACACAAAATCCTGGTTCCCTGAGCCAGTAGGAACAAATAACAACTGACAGACTCCTCATTCACAATTTCCAAGCTTGTCTTTGCAGCACTCTCCCAAAGAGTCCTCCCCCTGTTCCCTCTCAGGGCCATACTTATGATGACTACTCACCCTTTCTGCTGGATTTTTCTTGCTGTCTACCTGCCTTTCTGCCTCCAAAATACACAGCTGTAGTTGATCAATGCCACAACATTTCAGTCAGCCCCCGGGGAAGCCCTTCTACCTACATTTCTTAGCTGCTGACCAGCTTTGCATGTGGCCAGTACCTTGCATGGTGGCTTCTGTTATCTACTGCTGTCTTATTTCTTAAATGATCTTAATTCCTTCTTCTACTCAGCCGAATGAAGGGTGGCTAGCAGTCCATCAACTTTAATGTGGTCTCAGATGGCCTGTAGGTAAAAGACATGCTTGATGGCAGCAATTAATACTTTCTAGCATATCAGAATTATGCAGTAGGGCTTACAACTGTGGTATAACATATATTGTACATCTAAGAGGCCTGACAGGCATAGTTGCAATATGTTACCTGTAGTGTGTATTAGCAACCTATGCGTCTTATCAAAACCAAAATGCTTGCTTGTACAGTAAACTTCAGATAATACGGCACCTTTAGGACCCAGGGGGTGCTGGATTATCAGATATGCCGGATTATCGGAAGGGGGGCTATGAGGGGTCTGGGATGGGGTGGGAGGTATGGTGGGGGGGCGGGGTTGCC